CCCTTGGCCTTGTTGTCGTGGAACATAAAGTAGTACGGCGTCTCCGAGTTCTCGGTCGCTTGCCACGACAACACCGCGCCATAAAGCTTTGGCGCGCTGGAAGTTGGCATCGTGCTGGCCAGAGCTGCCACCCTCGGTCGGCCACCCCGACTCGGTCATGCGCACCTTGTCGCCAAACTTGGCCTTGACCGCGTCCCAGCGCGCCTTGTAGTCGACAATCGGCGTCAGCACGGACGACGGCGCGCCGCTGAAGAACGGGTGGATGTTGACGCCAATGACGTCGCACGCGTCGACAAGCTTGGGGTTGGAGAGGAAGTCGCCGTCAATCTGAACCGTGCCGACGCGCACCTTGACGCCGGCCTCGGTGAGGCGCTTCTTCGTCTCGAGGACCTTTGCGATGACCTTGTCGGCGTTCCACCCGTTGTGGAGCTCTTCGTTGCCGACGTAGACGACTTGAACCGTGTTGGGGTGGCGCTTGCAGCCGTCAATGACGGCCTTGAGGTCCTTCTCGTACCGGTCGCCAAGCAGCCAAATACCGGCGGCGATGCGCAAGCCCGTGTCGGCGGCGACATCGATCGCATTTTGCGACCCCATGTCCGTCTGGAAGGTGCGCACGGCCGTAAAGCGCTCCTTGATTGTCGTAAAGTGCGTCTTCATGTTGGCCGAGTCGTAGGAGTCGTAGCAAATACCCATGCCCGCGGACACGACGCCCACACAGGCGGCAGCGACGGTCATCAAACGCATCATTTTCTTCAAGTTGTGACGATGTTGCAAAAGGCCGAATGAGTGCTTGGAAGCCCGAGTCGTGTATAGCAGCAAAGGCGCCGTCGACGTGGGCGGAGACGAGCTAGCGTCGCCAGCACCGCTTGCTGGCTGTGTCTCTCGTTCCATGCCGACGCTGATTGGAAGAGAGATGTAGAGCCAGCGCACTGCCTCTCATTTTCGTGTTCAACAGATGTTACTGGATCGCTTTGCACGGCCACCAACGTTCGATGCAAACATCTGTCTTGGGTGCGTCCGATAGCGAACGACTCGTTTGGTACTCTAATTGGTGATTAATACAAGCAGCCACATTCAGTTGTAGTCGCCCCGCACTATAGCGACAGTGTATTTTGATCGACAGCTTAGTTTGCCATTGTAACGGTCAATGCCCTGCTCATGCGTGTGGTATTATAATAGACCCAATTGTAACGTCCCTAAAACGGCAAAGTCGGACAGGCTGGCGCTCTAATACCACAGCGCCGTGATGGACACTGCACAAGTAGATAAGATCGGAGATCGTTAGGGCCGCATCTGTGCACGGGTCTTCTGCTGCATTTTATCTGTTTCGATGCAAGTCGATGACCACAGAGGCGAAGAAAACACACTTTGTCCAGTCGCTGGTCCCGCGGAAAGCGATTCGGTCATTCATCGGTCGGACTCGCATCCATGTGCCAAAAAAGAATGTTATCACTTGCACTCCGTGCTTATACAGTGTAGGCCAGCCGGCGTGGGAGGGTTAAAGTGTCTGCGAGTGCTCTATCGAGTCATCGAAGGGACGCGATTGCAATACCCGCCGAGGTATCAAAGAGGTGGCGCTGGCCTTTTCGCCGTCCCGCGAGAAAGACGAGCACTGCGTAGACTACGAGCACGAGCACGAGGCCGATGCACACGATCCATACCGGGCTGGTGCTAATACCAGAGTCGTCGGATGACGATGACAATGCTGCCGTCAGCGACGGTGTCTCACGTGGGAGCGGCCCGACGTCGAACTTCCAGTGTCCACTGGATGTTGTCAATCCAAAGTCGAACGAGCTCGCGTCCGTAAACGCTTCGTAATACACGCTGGTCTCGCTCGAACCGGAGCGGTGCCATGCTTGGATCGACCGATAGTAGGCGGCGGCGGATGCCACGCTGAACGCGGTGCAGACGTCGGCGAGTGCGGGTGTCGACGCTGGCCAGCCCGTCACCACCATGTCGACTTTGGCGCCAAAAGCCGCACGTAGCGCGTTAGAACGCTTTCGAAACGCCGCCGCCCCGGCCTTGGCATCGACGCATGCGTCGTGCAAGAAGGGCTGGAGGACTGCGCCCAAGACGTCGACGTTCGCGACGTCAGTAGCGTTTGCGAGCAGTGCCGTGTCGGACATGAGAACGCCGACGGGCACGGAAGCGAGGCCGGCGGCGTCGAGGCGGCGGCGTGCGTCGGCAAATAGCGCGCGCCATGGCGTCTGTATGAGGCCGGGATGCTGCCCGAGGTACAGTGCGCGCAAGGTGCCTGGATACGCCTTGGCGCCGCGTATCGCTTCTTCGATCGAAGCGTTGTAGAGCGTTTGCTTCTGGATTGGCAGCGAGAGGGTGACGCTGAGGTTGTGCGCGGCTGCGAGGGCGAGGACGTTGCGCGGGCCATCGAACGTGTTGACGACCACTTGGTTGGTGCGAACGGACGCGAACAATGCCGTCTGGATCTGGTGGAGGTCCTTGTGAATGCGAACGAGATCGCCGCTGGAGAAGCTATAGGCAACGCCCCAGACGGCCTCGGCGACGTGCCACCAGAGGAGGAATGCAAGCACTTCGAGGCGCATGAGGTGTACGACCTGTGTTGTCTCGTCGTTGGCAAATGTCAATCTGTGGAAGGGGCCTTTCGAGACAGGACACCATTCTAGTCGTGCGTGCAACGGAGGTGCACCCGGATGCTTGACAGGAGGTGTCCACATGTTGATATTTCAGCAGAGGTCCATCTGAGATTAGGACGTAGCCTCATTGCTTGTCCCTGGGAACAGTACCTGAGGTGTGGTGGTGGTTATCCAAGGAGATGTTGCGCACCAAGCCGAGGATTGTGTCGAGGAAATAGTGCCCAAACGTGTTGAGAGGCTCAGTTCGCCATGGCCAAGTGTCGGGAGCGTATGTCCCACAACTTTAGAACAAGATGATCTTACCGGGACTGGTCAGGTTATGGTGGTGCCAACAACACAGTTACAGAACCGTTACGGTTGCTTCGTGTTTACATCGTGGCCGGCAGCAATATCGTTCTTGACAGTGTCCCGAATGACCTCTGCCGACCTAGTCTTTCCAAGCCCACTGCGGCCGCCACTGGTGTTTGGGAGACGCCGCATTCGTCTCAGGTATTTTCAACTATAGTCTTTAAGAATCGATGATGTCCGTGTCACTGGAGGTGGTTTTGGGGTGGCGGAGCTTGGTCATTTGCTAAGCTCGTGTTGTGTTCTCACCTGGGTTGAGCCTCGCGCATTGCCAATTCTCTTGGTGTTGTCTGCCGCATTTGCCAGAAACCATGTCCGTGCGTTGTGTGGTGGCGCAGCGTCGTCGTTCCGATCACGTTCAGTGCTCTTAGCAGATTGTTTCTAGAAGCTTACAAGCTACGAGCAGTCGACGAGTAGGTTCGAAAAGACGTTGCCGTGTCCATCATTTCAATCAGAAGGAGCGCCACGGGGGATCGAACCCAGCCCAATTCGGATGCATATCAATATCTTGGAGACCGTCAACCGTGGGCCATCAGAGATCGACCGATAGCACGCTTTCTACTGTTATCAAGTGCCCATCAACTCCATTCTTGGACCGGCAGATCATGCTCCCCTTTCTGCTGCTGCAGCAACGGGCTCTCAGGCTCGATTACGGTAGCCCGAGTATCAAGAGTCCATATTATGTCCTGCCGTGTCGACTGCATCGTAGATTAATCGTTTTACAAAAGACGATGGACTATAGACCCTGCTATAGACCTGTGATCTTATCATATAAGATCACAGGTCTATAGCAAATAGCTGGGTCTATAGCAGTGTTGAGCCACCCCTCTGGGTCTATAGCACGACCATCCCTTTCGCACGCGTCCGTTCGCACCCATAAGTGCAACTTGATGTTACAAACAGGAGGTGCCACGACGACCCCCTTTTCGGAAAAACCACGAGCGTCCGACCAGAAATCGCGTTCCAGCCTGTACGCAAATATACCGAGCATGCTGCTCCGGTCGCTTCGCCTTCGCCGCCTCCACGCCGGCGTGCGCTACCCGCTCGTGCCCTATGTCGCCGACGCGGCCGCGCTGCGCCTCTCGCCGTCGACCTCGGTCGCGCTCTTTGGCGTCAACCTCGATGCCAACTCGTCCTTTCTGCGCGGCGCCGCCGATGCGCCGGATGCGATTCGCCACGCGTTCGTCTCCGACAGCGGCAACGGCTCGTCCGAGCGCGGCGTCGACGTCGGGCAGCTGCAGGCGTCGGCGCTCCTCGATCTCGGCAACGTCGCGCCAGCCTTCGACGTCATCTCGGCCGTCGCTGCCGCGGCTACGCGCGCCAACCACCGGCTGCTCGTGCTTGGTGGCGCGGCTACGCGCGCCAACCACCGGCTGCTCGTGCTTGGTGGCGACCACAGCATCACGTTTCCCGTGATCCGCGGTCTCCGCGCAGCGCTCTTGGAAGCGGGCGAGCGTCGGCTCAACATTCTGCACCTTGACGCGCACAGCGACATGTATGCGGACGACGTCCTTGGCGGTGGCAACGCGCACTCGCATGCGTCGCCGTTCGCGCGCATCCTCGAAGGCGGCCTCTGCACGCGCCTCGTGCAAGTCGGCATTCGAACGCAGACCGCGCATTCGGCATTCGAACGCAGACCGCGCATTTGCGGGACCAAGCCGCCAAGTACGGTGTCGAAGTCCACGAGATGCAAGGAATCGCAAAGCGTGGGCTGCCAGCGCTGGCCTTTGACGGGCCGCTGTACATCTCGGTCGACCTCGATGTCCTCGACCCTGCGTTCGCACCTGGTGTGAGCCACTACGAGCCCGGCGGTCTCTCGACTCGCGAGGTGCTCTCGCTTCTGCAGGATGTCAAGGCGACGACCATTGTTGGCGCCGACATTGTCGAGCTCAATGTGGCGAGGGACACTGGCGCTGGCCACGCTTCCGTGACGGGCCAGACGTCACCGGGCATGACGGCCATGGTCGCCGCCAAGTTGATGAAGGAGCTCCTCGCCCGTCTCTGGGCTTGATAATACAGCGATATGGCTGCTTGTTGTGACAGAGTGCCATGTCCCGCCACTGCTAGCGACTCTGGTAAGCATTTGCCTAGTCCATGAGCTATCAACTATTAGATTGTGTCATCCATACGCCTACACTAGTATCCAGACAGGATAGGCGTATGTGCCAGAGGCGGAAAGTGCTGTCAGTTGCGGCTCTGCACCGGGTCCTCTGCTTTCGTTGGCGTCGTTCAACATGAGGCGGTGCGGGCTGTCCTTGGAGACTCTTCAAGCGGGGGAGAGGATAGTTCTTTTCTTCGTAGCGCTATCCACGAAAGCTATCCAGATACATCCAAAGCTATCCACCATAGCGATCCACCAATTGCATGGTGCGTTGATGTAATACCACTCTCAGCTACAGTGCACTTGTCGGTGGCTGTTGTGTGGCTACGAAGCCGCCAAGCGACCTACGTGGCTGTCCATAGCTCGCCGTGTCTGCACAAGTAAGGCTGTCTTCCTACGTGCGACAATCCACAAATGGATTCTATAGCATTTCTTAGTCAGTAGAGAGGCTTCGCGATTGCGCTCGTCGGCTTGCCGAGCCTCTTCGTTGACTGCTTGTCAAAAGCGCGCGCAGCGTGGTGCGGCTTTCTAACGCCACTAACACGCGTTATAACCTGCACCAGCATTTCGAAGGTGAGAGAATTGTTACAAATAGTGTTCCATTCGCCGCCCACGACAAAATACATGTACGAAGAGCTGGACTCGAGTACAACCCATGCTGTGTGGGATTGACGTGCTGCTTGCACGTAGTCTTTGTAAAGCGCACTGCAATGTCCACGGCTCTGGTCCTTGTTCGGAGGCGACCGTGTCCTCTTGGCGCGGCGTGCACACTATTTCCGTGTGCAATGTGTCTAACACGTCTGTTAGAAGGGTGTTACACACTGTTGAATGATAGCCGTTCCGTGTATCCGGTGTTTTCCGGTTACGGATGTAATTGACTTGGTGGCGTCCGCGCTGATTGGCCAAAATCCGGCGACTTATCCATTCCCAGCGCCAGAGACGAACGCAACCGCCATGGCCGACGTGATCGAGTTCGACGCGCCGTCGTACTACGACCTCAACGACACGGACTTCGAGAAGGCGTACATCAACAACGCCGACGGCTACTTTGGCGACTGCGCCGACGACGCCGAGTTTGACTTTGGCGGCTCCAACCAAGCGCGCAGCGAGCCCGCCGACGACGACATGGTCCTCTATGCGAGGAGCCACGCCACCTCGGACGACGACGGCGACGACGGCGCCGACGTGGCGAGCAACAACCATAGCAGCAGCCACGGCGGTTCGCAGCGCAACGCCAAGACGCTCGTGCCCCACTCGCGCAAGCCGCTGACAAAGGTACGCCCGCGTGCGCTATCGTGATGAATGGTTGACCCGCAGCGCGTAGCCGGCCTCGCCGCGACTGCAGACGTCCCGCAGAGCACAGACAAGCAGCAGCCACCGCAAGGTGTACACGCCGCCCGACACGGATGCGATCGAGATGGCCAAGCAGTTCCACGCGCTGCCGCTGCCGAGCACGCACGCTGCGCCGACGATCGCACCGCGCCTGGTCGAGCGCGCCGCTACGAAGAAGCCGACGACGCCCCGCATCCACGTGCCCATGACGACGGACCGATTCGGCGCACGCGTGCCACTCGTGTCGCCCGTCAAGCCCCAGGCCAAGCCGCGCCGGCCACACGGGCTCTCGGAGGACGCGACGCCGCGCGTGGCCCGCGCCGTGAGCCAGAGCTCACCGCGCCCCCAAGAGGTGGCTGGGCCGCGACCAAAGCTGGAAAAGTCCAAGTCGGTCGGCAACGTCATGCTCGAGCCCGACCTGACCGTTCAGTACGTCGCCGTCTACCTAACCTTGCATGTAGTGATGGCTCAGCGATGCTAGGCGGTCCGAGGAGCGGGCGCGGAAGCGGCAGGAGCTTGAGCTGCGGCGCCGGCAGCTTCTTGCCGAGCGGGAGGCGCTCAAGCAAGCCGAGGAAGCGAGACGCGCCGAGGAGGCGTTGGCGCGCGAGCGGGACCTCCGGCTCCAGCAGTCCTTCAAGGCCAAGCCCGTGCGAAGACCCAAGGAGCCATTCCGCATCGCGCCGTCGTCGCGCGAGCTCACAATGCCCAAGTCCCCGAAATGCCTTCGTCCAAAGGGCGGCTTGTACTAACTCCGGAAGGACACTAACTAACGACATAAAGTACTACCTACTACCGAGTCGCGTCGTGCGAGACAATGTTATCCTTAGTGTTTTAGTAAATGACTAGCGAACTTGATAACCGTCTCGAAGACTCATTTAGAAAGGCAGCGGTTGCATATTGGCTATAAATACAGAGACAGCGCCACAACCCGAGTCGATCCGTCCCTTGTGATGACCCGGTTCCACTCGCCGCGGCCGCACCAGACCAACCGTCGGTCGCATGGGCCCGAGTTCTCGGTCGTGTACATCTCCAAGTGGATCCGCATCACGAGCAACTTCATCGCTGGTGCTATGATCGTCGGGACCGCAGTCATCGTCGCCTTTCTGCTCTGGAAGGGCATGTTCCAGAGCCAGTATGTGATCGCGTACCCGCAGTCGTCGACCGGCTCGGCGTGGACACCGTTCGCCACGTCCTGCGTGCTCAACGCCAACGGCTGGGTTCCCTTCTCGTGCAGAGACACCGAGGTGGCCTTCACGGGCGCCTTGCCGTGGACGACCCTCGGTGTGCAGCTCGCGGCGACGCTCCAGCTCACGCCGCAACCGACCGGCAATCTCTCGAGCAGCGCGCTCATCACAACGTGCCTCGTCGGGCTCGATCGGTCGCGGGTCGCGGTCGTTCTCTTCGCGAGCCACCCGAGTGACGGCTACGCTGCGTGCATTCCGAATGGCGGGCAGCCCATGACTGGTATGTTTGTCCTCGAGACGACGACGACGGACGCGTATCCCAACGGTGTCTTCCTCTTGAGTTCGTGGACCGACTTGAAGCTCGCACCGCTTTCCATGTTACTGCAGACCGACGGGACCAATGTGCCCATCGTGCCGTTCACAAAGACATTCATTGGCATGGACGGGATGGCGATCAACGCGCCCCCGGACACGGTCAACTACTACACCCAAGTCAATAGCCTCAATCGACGGTACCTCATGTGGGCGACGTCAAACGTGCACATCATTGCAATCGCCAACGCCAAGGGCTACTCGGGCTGGAGCTACGGCAAGTACTCGCGCTACATCGGCACGATTGGCTGGGTGCAGCGGCACACGGTCGACAACCATCTCGAGCTGCTCTACTTTCAGATTGCGATTACGCTCATCTCGCTCGCCGTCCTTGCAAACGATGCGTACGTGACGTTCCAAGGCGCGTCTGGCTTGCTAAAAACAAGCCGGTGCTGACCTACGACATTTTTCCGGCCTCGAGCGCCGCAAGCTGCTGCTATGCGCGCTTGTCGCGACCATGTGCTACTCGCCGCTCTACGCGGATGTGCTCCGGTATCTCTATAATATGGAGGGATTCGGCGACCTCTACTGGTCCCTCTCGCTCGAGATGATCTCGGCCATGTTTGCCTTTTCGTGGATTGCCTTTCTGAGCTGCTGGCAGCATCTGCCGTGCCCGGCTATGCTTCGGCACAAGCCGCTTTCGTACTCGGGGCCGATTTACGTTTACTCGTCGCTCTTCATTTTTCTGCTGCTGGCGACAATACGGACGCGCGGGCGCGTCGAGTCGGCGGCGTTTTGGACCGACGCCGAAGCGCTTTTGACGATCTCGGTCAACGGGACACCGACACTGGCGGGGTCGTATACGGCCGATGGCACCGTGCCGGTCGTCGACAAGCTCATGGTGGACGTCGCGATCACCAACTTTAGCGCGTGGGCGATCTCGATTATGGCCAACAAACTCCTCCTTGGCTACATGTACTTGGACACGCGGTGGACGGAGAAGAACGAGTTTCTGAAAATGATCGACACGCCGGTGCCGCAGTGGGTCACGTGCATGGACCTCGATGTGAAGAATGCGATCGTGATTGGTGACAAGCTCTACTGCAAACCGAGCATGCTCGCGCTCCTCGGTTTTTGCACCGTGCTCCTCAAAACAAAGTACACGGCGACCGCCGGCGTCGTCGTCGCGCCGTCTAGCTCGCGCATCTCCCAAATCATCCACAGTGCCACCTCGGCGCGGAAAGGCGACACCTCGGCGACTGCCACCGGGACCGACACGCGCGGGTCCGTCCGCATCGATACGACCAAGAAGGCGGCGCCGCAGCCATACCAAGTCATTAGCATCTACGGCCTCTTGCCGGCCATTATGATGTCCAAGGTCTATGTCCCGCGCCTTTTGGGCACGATCGAGCACAATGTATTTGCGCCTGCCAAGAGCTCGACACGCCTCGAGAAGAATGTGCCGTACGTCTACTCCCGCGGCGACTGCTGCGGCTAAGCCGCGCTTATAGCTTACTAGATCCTGCGTACTAATAGATTCCTATATACGAGTGTACTACCAAACGCGATATCATCATCTTCGTGCAAGGCCCCATAATGCCACGTCGACCGTGACGTCGACCAATGGCGCCACGTGACGTTTTTAGGCCCCCTCCCCCGTGTTCTCTCGACCCCAGCGCCATCAACCAATCCAAAGCCATTTCCGTACCTAGTACCCTCGCATGGATATCGGGGCCCCTCGCCCTCCTGATTAAAAATATGACAATGAAATAGTATGCGATTTGTATTGCGATGTTTGCATTTTAATGACATCACCACGTCGACGCACACTATTTACGATGCGCGACCTCGTCGGCGCCGCCATGGCCATGCCGCGTCCCTGCGCTTCTGCACGATGCACCGCGTCGAGTACCTCGTATTCACCTGTATCCACGCATGGCGGCGGCATGCATCGCTGTGTGCGCCTCGTGCCACGCAGCGAGGGCGGCCGACCGAAGCAACTGAAATAGTGTACGTACACTAATTGATCGCGGTGAATTACTGGTTGCGGGAATGCATTGGCTGCGAAGCACTCAGATCACATTGCCTTTTTGGTGCTCAGTGAAGATCCGCTTTTGCCGGCTAAGCTAAGAATCCGATATGTTGGTCCCGAAAAAGAACCGTATTGCTGTCTACTCGTACCTCTTCAAGGAGGGCGTCATGGTCGGCAAGAAGGACTTCGCGCTCCCCAAGCACGGCGAGGTTGACGTGCCCAACCTCCAGGTCATCAAGCTCATGCAGTCGCTCGTCTCGCGCGGCTACGTCAAGGAGACCTTCAACTGGCAGTGGTACTACTGGTACCTCACCGCCGAGGGCCTCGAATACCTCCGCGCGTACCTCCACTTGCCGGCTGAGATCGTCCCCGCGACGCTCAAGAAGCCCGCTGCCCGCCCGTCGCGCCCCCAGGCGCCGTCGGCGTACGGCCGCAAGGACAAGAACATGGGCCCGTCGGGTGACTTCAACCCCGAGTTCCGTGGTCGCCAGGACGGCTACCGCCGCGAGGCCGCCAACTAAGCGCTCTTCTTGACCGTGGAAACGTAATATCATGTCGGATTCGACTTGCCATCCTTTTGTGTTGATGGAGCCGCAGGTCCTCGTCAACGACGACGATGGCCGCGCAGACGAGGCTAGAGGAGATGGTCCCTCGAAGAGATGATCCCGCGTGAGCCACGTCGGCGAGGTGTTGTGGCGCTTGGCCGAGCGACTTGAAGCGGAAACGGTAGTGTGATGCTGCCTTGGCCCTTCCTCCTCCCATGGACGAGGCCTCGAGGTCCCGCCTTCATGCTCAATGTGCGTCTGTGTGGCTGAACGCGACGCCGGCCCTCCGCTGGAGTCGATGCTCGATACTCTAACGCGTGCTTGGCAACCAACTGTCTGGGTCGAGCATGGCAACGTCCGCCTGCTTCCAGGCCGTGCGAGGTCGTCCACTGCTACAAAGTGCTGGCCAGCTCTGGATCATTATCATCTTGCTAGGTGGCTCCGAAGAGGTCATCACGGCCCAGAACGCGCTGCGTCAAGTGACTGCCGAGCGCGACGCGATGACTAATACCTCGAGCGAGCAACTCGCCTCGAAGCTGAAAGTGGCTCCGACGCGCGTGAGAGCTCTGGACGGCGTCAAACGTCGCTCTCGAGCTTCGAGCACCCAGCTCGTCTGGCAACGACTCGGACGATGAACGATCTCTGTCTGTCCAGGACGACGACATGTAAACTAGCGGCGAGAACGCAGCGCCAAACACCGCAGAGCGCGATGCGATCGGTGCCGACAGTACGCTGCACGCCTCGGAGCAACCTCTGCGCGACTCAATGAAGGCTCGGCGTACCGGTATCGGCTTGGGACCTGTATGTTAAGGCCATACATACGCGCTCGGCCAGCGAGAAATGGGCAGCGAGCTTGCAAGCTGTCGGTTCGTCGATGCGACGAGCAAGGTCGCATATAAATCTTGGGCTGCAAGGACCTTCTTTTCAATTCCTCTGTCCCGGTGAAGGAGCGTGCTCTGCCCTTGGCTTTACTTCAAGTGGTTTATTCCACAGCTTCTAGAAAGGCTTGTCGAAAAGGGAAGATGAAGTGTAAAGCCAAAACAGGACCCATTGATATTATACGACGATTCGCACGACGCAGTTGATCAAGCGACCCAGTATTGTGTCTCGAAGACGAGCAGCAGCGACGACCAGAGGCAGCTCAGCAGCGACCCGTTTAACGGTAGCGGCGGAGCGACGTGGTGTTGCGGCGCTTCCAGTTGGCACGGCGCGACGAGCCCTGGATCTTGTTGGCCTTGTGGCCACGCTGGCGGAGGCCACGGGCCTGGCGGCCAGCCGACGTAAGGCCACGCTTTTCGCGGCGCTTGTGGACGGCGTTGACGATCCAGTTGATGCGGGCATCGCGGCGGATGGCCTTGTGCGAGTGGTCGACAAGGATGACCTCGAAGTACTTGTACGTCGCGTCCTGGTTGACCCAGTACGAGTTGAGGACGCGCAAGTTGGTGAAGCGGGCACCGGCGCGCTCCTCGGCCACCGAGCGGAGGTTGCGGGCGAACTTGAGCTCGTTGATACCGTGGTGCTTCGGCTTACCGTAGACGATACCCTTCGAGTTGGGCGCTTGCGGCCACCGCGGCGGACGGCGACGCGGACAGCGACGTAGCCCTGCTTGGCCTTGTAGCCGAGGCGGCGGGCCTTGTCGAGGCGCGACGGGCGGACGAGGCGGTACACGACCGGGAGCTGGCGGTACTGCCAGGCGCGGACGCGGTTCAAGAAGCGGAGGACATCCGACTGCTTGCGCTTCCAGAGCTCGGTCATGTACTTGTAGGCACCCATCTTGTCTTTGTTTTGGCTAAAACGATAGTGAGCTCATGCTGAAGCCGCCGCAGCAAATTGGCTGGTGTGGAGCCGGCTTGGCACTCTTTTTAAATGTTTTATGTTGGATACAAACGTCAAGGTGTGCGTGCAATCTTTTATTCGGGGTGGCAGGCCGCTTTCCGATTGGGTATCTTGCAAGCCAATCGTACGTCGCCAACGACGATGATTGGCCAAAATGCCACCGGTCAACCGACTGGGACAGACACGCTGGACAGGCGGTCGATGCGATCATGCTGCCACGGGCGACAGGCTGCAGGAAGCGACCTAAGGCGGCGTCGACGATATACAAGGGCGGGCAGTAAGCCGCGTGGCAGTAATCGAGGTACAGTGGGCTGCACGCGTGGTCCTCCGCTCTGCAGCGTGGCTGGGTTGGCAAGTACTAGTACTAGGTACCAGTAGTAGCAGACGACGATGAGGGCGTCATCGCATTCTCTCGTCACGACAGACATGCTCACGCTTCACGAAGACAGACTTTGGGCGGTTGCCCGACATTGCGCGGCGTGGTCTGGGAGGCGAGCAGCCATGATGCGAGGGCTAGTCGCTCTATGGGCCAGCGCCTCGGTGGCGACGACGGTGGCGACACCACGTATCGAATGCGCTCGTTGCGCCCGCCATGACGCTAGCAACGCTGCGGTGATGCAGCGATACGGTGTGAGTTGCTTTCGATGATCGATCCACAACATAAGTTCGCAGCGCTGAATCGCTGCAATGGAGCGCTGGACAGGTCGTAGCCAGCGACAACGCACCGCTCAGCCGCCAATGCCATGCCAATGCTGAGCGTCTGTCGACCTGCGGATATGCTGGGATGATGCGCGATGGCCGTGGCTCACTGCCGTCCATGCGACCTTGTGTGATCCTCGACGTACTAGTCGACCGGCGAGAGTCTCATGCTGTGGCAACAAGCGGCAGCTACTGTGTCTACGCTACGGGGTATTAGGTCCAGGCTCTTCCTTGCTTCGGTTATTGCAAGCCCACACGCTCAATGCGACGTCCGAGTCGGTGCTCTTAACCTGCATATCGGTGCAACTGTAGTGGTACACCAGGACGAAGGGAATAGTCTTGACCAGAAGGCTCTCGAGTACACTTCTGCTTGTGCTGTTGAGGCTATGAGATAGGTAGATAGCGCCGTCGGCCAAGGGCTCGACCCTATACTCGCCCGGTGCACAGAGCTGTTGTCTTGTCTGTGCGTCTCTCAAACTGCGTGGGATGGATCGGTATATCGATGATCGTATTTAACTTATGAAGAAACCTACTACTCCTCCTAGCACAGTCTTTACAACTTCAACACGCCGTGGTTGGGCATGTACTTCTCGTGGTTGCCGTCAAGGGCAAGGACGCCCTCCGAGCGGAGCTTGGCGTACACGTCACGCTCGTACTTGGTGAAGCCCCACTTCTTGGAGCCGAGCACCTTCTGGCGACCCGGGAACTTGAACTTGGCACGGCGAAGGGCCTCGACGACGGCGGGGCCGAACGAGTCCTTGGAGCGCACCGAGATGATGGGCTGGCCAATGGCGACGCGGGCGGCGACACCCGTGGGCTTGCCGTAAGCGTGACGCATACCGGTCTGGAGACGATCGGCACCGGCGCACGAAAGCATCTTGTTGATACGGAGGACCTGGAACGGGTGGCAACGGATGCGCATGTGGAAGTTGTCCTTGCCGCAGAACTTGGTCAAGTAACGGTTGGCGGAAATGCGGGCGGCTTCAAGCGCCTCCGACGAGAGCTGTTCCTTCTCGTCCGACACCAAGTGGCACACGAACGGGAAGGTGTCGACGGACGCCTTTCTTGTTACGACTCGTAGATGCGGATCTTCGGGTCCGGCACACCACGGCAGTAGCGCGACTAGATGAACGGCTTCTTGTTCTG